CCCCCCCCCCCCCCTTTCGCATCGCGCCCGTTTGCTCACTCGACCTTTCAGAACCGGAGAAAGATACTATGGTCGATGTACCACATTCTGCGGGACGATGTAAGAAGGAGATTCGTGTTCGGATATACAATCGAGAATCGGATGATGCGCTGGTGGTACTGCAGTCGCACTGAGGTCTTCGTGTCGACTCCACTCGATTTCATCCAGGTGAGCGAGAAGCCAGCGTTGTGCGCATGTGACTTGAAATTGACTACTCAAATGCAGGACCACAGATCCGTAGTGGAATTCCTGCTCTGCGTCGCGTTCGCGGAAGAGCACCAGCTCGGTTGGGATCCGACAATCAAGAGGCTTCCACCGACACCTATCTACCCATTGCCACGATACGAGATCACCGTCCGGGATACCTTGCGGGATGAGGTAGTTGAGAGGACTTACCGGACGAAGGACCTGATTTGGAACTACGGGGCCGACGCTTTCCGAGGCCGGGGTACGAGAGTGTGGTCTGTCGTAGAGGTGGATGCGGATGGCAACGAAGGCACGGACCTGTACATCCTCAAGGATTCATGGGCGGATGTCGACCGCGAACGGGAAGGTCACATCAACCAGCTGATACACTCTCGCGTTGCCAAACAAGGCGAAGAACTTGCTCCAGAAGTATACGATAGATTCTTCATGCAGGTTCACGCGTTCGGCGACGTGTACATTGGCTCGCGCGTTGATAGGACGGACAGCTTCAAGGTCGATAGATCTGGCGAGGAGCTTCCCAGTCGAGGCACGCTCACGGTCCTGGTACGGACCGACGACGAAGGCAACCCTCAAGATGTCAAACTTCCTCGTCGCGGCGTTCCGATTGTCACCCGTTCGATCAGACCGCAAGAGCCGGTGCTGCGTTACTCTCACAAGGTGCATCATCGCACTGTTTTCAAAGACGCAGGAAACGATCTCTTAGAAGTAGATACACTTGTCGACGTCTATTGCCGGATCGAGGAGGTTCTACTCGGTGAGTCAACGCGCATTTTGGGTTACTTTATTCTGGTCCTAATCTCGTCCAGGGCTGGACGTCTTGCACTCAGCGAACTGGGTCCACCGCGACATCAGTTACGGCAACATATTGGTCGTCAGGGGAGAAGCCAAGATCACTGATCTCGAATATGCGAAGGAAACGTCCGACCTCGGTGCGCATCATGGTGTCCGGACGGTGGGTTTTTATTCGGTAACTATCTGTGACCATCTGAGGAATCACCCAAATCTTCCTAGGGAACGCCATACTTCATGTCAGAAGAGGTCCGCGCATCTCGTTACAACTACATCCCTGACGAGCCGCAAGAACCTCCATTTACGAAGACAAGTGTTGCGGACAGGCTCCAGCGTACCCAGCGGGATCGTGCAGCGACCCTCTCTCACGTGCAGACAGCTCAGCAGGAGACTGGACCTGGCACCGTCCCCAAGTCAGCTCCCAACGAAGCCGCCGATCCTACTCTACCGCCTCCAGACACGGCACGTCCGAACTGCGTCATATTTCGCCATAATCCTTTACACGACTACGAATCGGTCTTATGGCTCTCACTCTTCGTCCTTCTTGTCTCCGAGTACGAGAACAGCGAGCTCAACGAGAAAGGAGAACGCAAGTACGACGCTCAAACTTTCCAGGGCTTCATCGACGCACAGCGTGCCTTGGCCTGGAGGCTCTTCTGCGAACGCGATCGAGTGTTGGTAACGACGACCACGAAGTACCTGGCGGGGCAGACTGACGGCCTTCATCCCACTGTTGCCAAGATCATCTGCGAGCTGGGTGTTATGTGCTCTCGCCTGGTGCGAGCCTTCAAGGACGCGGAGAAGGACCTCAAGCCGGGTGTGGCCGAACCAATCACGATGGACTGGTCAGCTGTGAACGAACGGCTCAGCCAGAGCATCACTGCCATCATTTCTATCCTTGAGCAGACGCCACTTCATCTTCTCAAGGACATCGCGAAGAGGACGCGTAGACTGGTCAAGCCGAAGGGCGTCGGGAATGAGGAGATGGGAAGAGGAATCGGAGACACCGCTAACGTCGACGGCGATTCAGGCACAGACGAAGACCAGGACGGCCGACGATCCAAGGTCCGGAGGGTCGGAGGAAGCAAGGATGTGTCATCTTCCTCGAGGGCTCAGCTTCCAATCCCTTCACTTACGACGCTCATTGCGGCTGACCACGGCTCCGATTCTGAGCGGTGACGATGTGTTTGACTGATGATTATCATTTGTGTACCGTGCCCTCTTCAGCATTTACGCAGATACACTTTCTCGCTCTTCACGATTTCAATTTAATATGATACTTCCGTACAGTCAAGGGCGGGTGTGGTCGCGCAGTCAAGGTTGAACGTTGATATTCGAGGCGTTCTTTCCGCTATAGTCGCAGGTAGCGTGTGCGGCGCCGTGGGCCTCGCCGCGCTCCTGCCTTGGCGCGTTCCTGGTGTGGAAGAAACGCTCAGCACGCACGAGTAAGCCCGTTGATTAGTGTTGCGTCAGAAAGTCCCGGGAGATGTAAGTAACATGTAAGAAAGTCCAGGGCCTACTGTAAGTAAATAAGCCCTGTAATTTACATTATTTACCGGAGGCTACGGTCCGTTTACCCCGCTGTAAATTACAGTAAATTACGGTCAATAACAGTAAGAAAAGGTCAGAAAGATGAGACGCTCCTGACAGATGAGAGGCCTCGCCATTTCCAAGAGCACTGCCAACAGCGCATGGTTTTGGTGCTCTTTTCGGGATAGGTGCGCTGGCGAAATACTTCCTAGAAGCTTCTTCGTCAGCGTCCGGTGCATGGCGCTGCTGATCTAATGCTGCAATCTTTGCCTCGAGAACAGGCAGCATCTGGTCGATGTTGATGTCATCCAGCCGTCTGTCTGCTGAGAAATCTTGAGAGACGGTCTACTGATGATGTGCTACTGCCACCAGCAAGACTGTGACTGCCATACTACTGCCACAAGGTTATCCGAGGCAACTCAAGCTGTAGTAATGAAGTTGGTGTTCAAGGTACCGAAAACCAAGGAGAGCTCATCTCAGGTCACGCATCACAGAATCTGGGTGTCATGTGCCTCATGTGCAAGCATCCAGTAGTGGAGTACCACGAAGGAATGCTTGTGACCACCGAAAATAATTGAACAGAAGCCTTGGTCCCACTTAGTATGGCCCGGCTACACCATGAAGAGTTGTTACTGGGGAGTTGCGAGTAATAAAAGTTACGAGCAGGCAGTCAGTATTTAATAGCGATGGATCCGTCAGGGAGAAGTAGGAGCGTGCAACTTTGTTTGGTTCCTAACCCACTGAAGACGAAGCGAGTAGTGATAGCTGAAGCCGCTGTACACGGTGGCATATGTGGCAGGCATTCTATCTGACACTATTCATGAGAGGTCGGACATGGTGTGGGCAGAGTGCAAGCAGCGGAATTTTCATCCACTGTGGGTGTAGGATGCATGCTGATATGCCTTTTTCTGCCTGAGTGCGTTTTCTCCGCTGCACAGCGGACTCTGGGCTCTTGGGGAGTTTTTGACACTTTCTTACACCTCCTTTCCGGGCCTCACTGTAAATAATGTAATTTACAGTAATTTACCTACTTATTTACTTACATGTAATTTACAGATCCATGCGCGTTGGAGCTCGTTGGAGCCTCGACGCAAGGAGATCGTCTCCGGACTTAACGGGATAATCGGGGTTCCTTCTCGTGAACATCGTCGGTTTTAGCGTCCTCCAACGACCGCGACCCGTCATTGTGCCGGTCGACGATCGGTGCCGGGTCATGGCAGTGTCGCCTAGTGTCGCGTGCCTCTGCGACAGGTCAGCCCCACCTTGTGGTACCAATTGTTTTGAGTTGACTCATCCTAAAAGAAGTACCCGCACTCTGACAGAAACATCAGAGGTCACCTCCACGGTTTCAAGACGATGAGGCGCTTGCAGCGCCAGGGAGGACGCCGCCGGTTATGGACTTGGTGGGACGGTCCCGAAGTTAGCGCGTGACTCATGTCGATCTGGCACAGAGAGGAAACGGCAGCTCACCGACACATAGTTCATGTTTGCGCCTGTGATAGGAAGCGCGTTCGGGGTCAGGAATATGACACAGACGCACCCAGAGCACGACATACCTGAATTAGCCATGGTTCATGTGGAACAGCCCGGGCTTGAACTGCACCTCGGGGTGCCTACTGCACATCCGCCGCCTGCCCAGCATACATGAGCTCCATATACCTCAACCACAAAAAAGGGAAGCACAGACGCACAGAAAGACGGGCACGATGCACAACAAGTCAACCACCATGAACGCGGTGAGGCTCCCAAGGTCGAGCAGGCCTGGCTGCTGCAAGCGTCGTGAACCAGATGGCACGGGGCGACTTGCGCGTCCGCGTGCTCATGCACCCAAAGAGGCTGCTATCTGGCTGTCTGGCAAGCCATGGTCTCAGCTGAAGGCGTAGATCGTGAGCAAGCTTGTCTGCAGGCTCATCTGGCACCAGAAGAACCCTGCGAGGTAAACGAAAGGCCCATAGGGGGAGCACACCGGGCTTGCCGATGCGCAGCACGAGGATCTGCAAGTAGTATGAGAAGAGTGCTGAGATGGTGTAAGAGCCAGTCCACTTGCAAAATTACGGAGTCAGACGGGTCTGGCAAGTTCTCACTGTCGAAGGAGTCATGTCAGTGTAGACAGTGTAAGAACACTTTGGAAAGAACCCTAAAACGATCCAGAGCAGAGCACGAGAACAGTACAAGAAGCCAGCTGATGTTGCCGGTTCCTATCATAGTGATGAATATGACGGGGGCACTTCAAGCACCTGGTGTTAACACTATAGATTCGGACAAACCAGATAACAGCCACCTACCAAGGTAGGCGACACATCTTATTTCTTTTCTGTCCTCACAAACGAGAGGAGAGAGGACCAAAAATTGCTGAGACTGATATCACACACTGAGATATGTGCAGTAGTATCGTATCCCTTGGTGACAGTGAGCGATGACAGGGAATCCACAATCTGGCATCACTTACGGTCATCGTCCACTGTATGCTCAGCAAGCCAAATAAGAAGGCGATGTCACTGTCCCAGCTTGCAATGCTGTTGATTGCCCTCAGAGCCGAATACAAATGACACGCTGCACATCTCGTGGCGAGACGTCACTGCAAACAGGAGAATGATGATGACTAAATGTGGAATTTAAGGAATTGCAGACTGGGATCAGTAGAAAAGACGCACTTAGTGTTGCTCCAAGGTCAATATATATGTAGAGGTGAGACGAGCGAGGCGCCGAATAGTTGGGTTGTTCTGAGAATCGAGGAAGTCAGCGGTATTCGTGTATAACGGTACCGTGCATGAGACGCACCAGCAGGCCTTGAACGATGAGAAGCCCGGCAAAAAGATCAACAGATTTGCCAGCTGTAATCTTGTAGTCGCCATCCTGACAGCACTTCAGCCCTTTCAGACTGCTGGATCATGCGAGAACGCAAGAATGAAGCCTACCCGTGCGATAACGACAGCGGGTCATATTATGTCGGAACTCACCTAAGGATAACCCAACCAGCTCGCTATGGCTCCCGATCGATCGAAAGGACATACATCGCGCGTTGCTATTGACGATTACCAAGTGAAAGGTATTGGCGGACAAAATGGGTTCTTGCACCTGTGAGCAGGCGCGAGCGAGCTAGCAGCCTCAGCCTCAGACGTATCACTCTATAGATTGAACTATTGTCAGGTGAGGGGCGACGACGAAATCCGTCTTTCTGTGGCGTACGTTTCATGGACTTTTGGCGCAGCTGATGCTGTTCCGAAGGAGATGCGTCTCGCCGCCCTAGCGTGTCCTCTACGGAGATGCCAGGTCTTCAAAATCACTGAGAATACTGACCAGCTTGTGATGTCGCGGATCCGTGCAGCGAACGCAGCTGAAAAAATGGGCTTCTTTGGAGACGCGGTGACGAAGGTAAAAATATAACTTCAGGGTCATAGCCTTCAGGGTCTGCAAGTGGATCTCCTTCACAGTCTAGAAGGATATCCATCCCAAGGATGCAGGTGGCCAAGTTGTAGCATTCGATGAGGTCTCGCCTCGTCTTGGCACCATGGTCGGGGCCGCCAGAGTACAGCGACTGAATATGACTGTGAGAAAGCATGCAAGCCAGAGTCGGGTTAGGGTTTATCCTGGTCGCTGCGCGCGCCCCCTCGCCACAGTCAGGTTGGCCACAACCTACTACCCCCCATAAGCGTTTCATTCTTGTTTTCATTGTCCCCATTCCAAAACAATGAAACGATCCTTTTGGGAAACAGTCTCAGAAATACCCTATAAAGCTGGACGCGCCTGCGACGGTGACAGTCCTCACCCAGACCCAGTATGGCTCAGTCTCTCAACCCCACCCTCACTACTCACGCGTCTAAACCCACTCCTTTGGCTCAAAAGCGAGCACAGAGCGTTCCTAGCACTGCTCACGTCGAAGAATACCGCGACGCCGTCTGTCTAGATCTCAATGAGTTCGTCACCGTGGTGGCGGCGGACGACTTCCGCAGACAACTCCTTCCCGAACTTCGACCAGAGATCGACATCGACGCGGTCCTGCGGCGGTTGAATGATGACGGGACGATTCAGTCAGGCCGGTGGGCCCTCTTTCCATCCGATCCCAACGACATGATGACGCCACCACCTAAACCCACACCCGTGCACGAAGACAATGTATTCAAGAAGTTCGCGGAGCTGGCCAAAGCTGTCGAGAATGCATGTCTCCACGTCTCGACAATCACAGATACGAAAAGGCTTTGCGAGTTCAAGTGTAATCCCTCACGGGTACCAATGTGTCTGTCCCGTCATAACACTTCACGTCCCGATAGCTATGCTATCCTGTCCTCTGCGAAGGCGGTGAACGATCCAACTGAGAAGGCACAGTGGGTCGAGGTTGCTGTTCCGGGAGAGTTCAAGAAGAGTGATAGTCCCGACGCTAGATGGGATGTAAGTATTACTCTGTTTCTTTCCCTCTCCTCGCTGCAATCGTGCCCTTTCGCTCACTCGACCTTTCAGAACCGGAGGAAGATACTATGGTCGATGTACCACATCCTGCGGGACGATGTGAGAAGGAGATTCGTGTTCGGATATACAATCGAGAATCGGATGATGCGCTGGTGGTACTGTAGTCGCACTGAGGTCTTCGTGTCGACTCCATTCGATTTCATCCAGGTGAGCATGAAGCCAGTGTTGTGCGCATGTGACTTGAAATTGACTACTCGAATGCAGGACCACAGATCCGTAGTTGAGTTCCTGCTCTGCGTCACGTTCGCGGAAGAGCACCAGCTCGGTTGGGATCCGACAATCAAGAGGCTTCCACCGACGCCTATCCACCCGTTGCCACGATACGAGATCATCGTCCGGGATACCTTGCGGGATGAGGTGGTTGAGAGGACTTACCGGACGAAGGACCTGATTTGGAACTACGGGGCCGACGCTTTCCGAGGCCGGGGTACGAGAGTGTGGTCTGTCGTGGAGGTGGATGGGGATGGTAACGAAGGCACGGACCTGTACATCCTCAAGGATTCATGGGCGGATGTCGACCGCGAACGGGAAGGTCACATCAACCAGCTGATACACTCTCGCGTTGCCAAACAAGGCGAAGAACTTGCTCCAGAAGTATACGATAGATTCTTCATGCAGGTTCACGCGTTCGGCGACGTGTACATTGGCTCGCGCGTTGATAGGACGGACAGCTTCAAGGTCGATAGATCTGGCGAGGAGCTTCCCAGTCGAGGCACGCTCACGGTCCTGGTACGGACCGACGACGAAGGCAACCCTCAAGATGTCAAACTTCCTCGCCGCGGCGTTCCGGTTGTCACCCGTTCGATCAGACCGCGAGAGCCGGTGCTACATTACTCTCACAAGGTGCATCATCGCACTGTTTTCAAAGACGCAGGAAAGGATCTCTTGGAGGTGGATACACTTGTCGACGTCTATTGCCGGATCGAGGAGGTTCTACTCGGTGAGTCAACACGCATTTTGGGTTACTTTATTCTGGTCCTAATCTCGATCAGGGCTGGATATCTTGCACTCAGCGAACTGGGTCCACCGCGACATCAGTTACGGCAACATATTGGTCGTCAAAGGGAAAGCCAAGATCACTGATCTCGAATATGCGAAGGAAACGTCCGACCTCGGTGCGCATCATGGTGTCCGGACGGTGGGTTTTTATTCGGTAACTATCTGTGACCATCTGAGGAATCACCCAAATCTTCCTAGGGAACGCCATACTTCATGTCAGAAGAGGTCCGCGCATCTCGTTACAACTACATACCTGCCAAGCCGCGAAATACCCGATTTACGAAGACAAGTGTTGCGGACAGACTTCAGCGCACCATGCGGGATCATGAGACGATTCCCCCTCACGTGCAGACATCCCAGCAGGAGAGTGGACCACGCACTGTCCCCAAGTCAGCTCCCAACGAAGCCGCCGATCCTACTCTATCGCTTCCAGATACGACACGTCCGAACCGCATCATATTTCGCCACAATCCTTTACACGACTACGAATCGGTCCTATGGCTATTACTCTTCGTTCTTCTCGTCTCCGA